TGACCCTCTTGCCACACAGCATCTCCTCTGCCTGCACCTGGTTGATCTTCCCCACGTACCATGTTCGCTCCTCGTGGTGAGGCAGCTCCTCCTCATCATCCGTCATGGAGTACTGGCTGCAGTGGAGCACAGGCGGGGTCAGACTCTCAGTTTGGGCACCCACACCTCCCCCACACTGCTGCTGCCACCACCCATTCCGATAGGGAAGGCTCCTCAGCTCCGACACAGGGAGCTGGGAGGTGCCCATGGCCCCCCCACACGAGCAGGGACAGGGAGACACTCACTCCTCCATCTCGTTCTTGATGCCCAGCCACTCGTTGATCTTCTTCTGCCGGGCACCCTTCTGCATGAGGCACCTGGGGGAGGAAAGGCAGAGCTGAGCCCAGGCCACGGCTCCCGGGCAGGGCCATGACCAGAGGGCAGCAGCCGCCCCTCTCAGAGCCCCATGACAGCGCAGCAGACTTCACTCCCGCACCAAACAGGCTCCCAGTCGGTCCAACGAGCCCCAGAGCCCTCGAGGAGCTAGCTGGATGGCTCCTGGGCCGGGCTGGAGGGGAACTACGTACACCAAGTACTGGTCCCGCAGTTCGCGCAGCTGCATGAGGTCTGGCTTGATGCTGTTCATGCGCTTGTCGATCTCCCGGTTCTCCGACGCTTGTTTCTTCAAGTCCTGCTCCAGCTTCATCTTGCTGTCATGGATCTCTGTGATGTGGGACTTGAGCTTCTCCGAGTTCATGAGGATCCTGGGAGAAAGAGGGGGGGCTGTGAGCTGGAGTGGGGAAGGCAGAGGAGGCTGCCTGTCAGCTCCAGCCCACAGCACGCTGCTGAGAGGCAAGGACTGTGCGTGCCTGAGCTCTGTGTTGGGCCAGGAGGATCCTTCGAGCTCCTGGAGCCCTTCCCCAGACAGGGCAGGCCTCCATCTCCCCCATCCTCACTGTTGCACCTCCTTCTCCCTCGCACCAGAAGCGCTCGATGTACTCCTTGCTGCACTTCTCCTGGGTCTGACACTGCTCCTCAAAGATCTTGATCGTCTCATTGAAGGCCTCGATTGCCGTCCTCTTCATCTGAAGCTCCTGGGGAGAAGGGAGGGGAGAGCTGAGGAACATTTCTGCCCATTCTCATCCTCTCTTCCCCAAAGATCTTGATCGTCTCATTGAAGGCCTCGATTGCCATCCTCTTCATCTGAAGCTCCTGGGGAGAAGGGAGGAGAGAAATGAGGAACATTTCTGCCCATTCTCATCCTCTCTTCCCCCCTCTCCAAAGCAGCACTGTCTTTGCAACAGCCAAAATATCTCCCTCTTCAAACCCATCCTCTGGGGAGTCCCCTCAAGTCCAGCAGCAGACAAACAGGGCAGTCAGTGGGTGCCCAATCTCTGCCCTCCCCTCTGCACGGTGTGGTAGCTGCCAGTGCTCAGGGGGTGCCAGGGCAGCCCTTGGGGGTGTCAG